CGTTTGACACCTGGCGATATACATCGGAGAGAAGAGGTCTTTTAACGAACGAACACACCGACACAGTCCCTACTATACACTCAACTATTGCATCGCTTGATTCATTGATTTATGTTTATTAAGAACCTTATAGACTATTATACTTTGTAGTTTGTACTTGGTTTTCATATTCCTGAGAGAAAAGGAGTACGCGGCGCGCCATACGCCGTCGACATTTTTCTGGAGCGGAAGGATGCTTGCTCGATCATTAACAGCTTTTCTATTATGTTTTTTTTTTCACAATCTTCTTCCTTATTTCCTTTTCTCCCCGAAATGAGAACGACGGCGGCGGCGCGACGCGACGGTCCTATCCGATCTTGCAAACTATCGCTTTACCATGTTATACACAGAGATTTTTTTTTTTTTTTTTTCATAAGCTTCATTCTGTGCGCACCCTGTATGTCGTGTGTGAGGTAGCATTTGTACTAGTGTGTGACAAAGTATTGTGATCCGTTATTGCGGCGGCCGCGGGCCGTTTATTCGAATGCGATCGGCGACGAGGCTAGCGGAGGTCCCGGCCCGGCCTCTGTGGCAGTGTTCTCGCATACGTCGCCACGATGAGAGGTCAGTCTTATTGTGTTGATAAGATAAGGAACGGGGAACGCGAGATAGGCGCGGCGCGCGACGTCCCATTGTCGCGCCTCGGGAGTACAGACACGGATACTCCGAGCGTCGCGGCGAAACAGTTCGCCGTCGACGCATTAACGTTTTAACTCGATCGCAACGTTACGGATGGATCCATGTCGACGTTGAGATATACAAGGATACGGCGAAATCGTTCATCGTGATCGCGTTGGACTCCGTGAGCGGAGGCCGATCGCGCGGAACGGTCCTCGACGACGAGCTCGTCACCGATTCGGCCACGCGACGCACTTGGTTCTCTCTCTCTCTCTCTCTCTCTCTCTCTCTCTCTCTCTCTCTCTCTCTCTCTATGTGTATTTACCTATATAATTCTTCATTTTTTTCTCTACAGCGTGTATAGTAAGTTTACAAAATCCACACATCCTGTCTGTTCTGTTTGTTAACCCTTAAACATTACGTTTACTTTGTACTATAAGTTGCAGCCGGGAAACGAGCCGCTCGTTCCCCGGACGTTCGAGGTCCCGCTTTGCGACATCGCTACGCCATGTGTCTGCTTCCCCTTCATTCTCTTTTTGTCGCCCCTCCCCCCTTCTGTCGTATCTTCTTTTTGCTTCTTTTTCTTTTTTTTTCTTTCTTTCATTGCTCCGTCGATTTTTAAATATGCTTATGCGTGCGTGATACATGTATTATGTAATCATTATCAACTACGGTATAGTACTATTATATACTATACGAGCAAACGGTACAGTAGTTGCCGGTGCACTCTCTGCGCGCGGTGTAGGTGCAATGATGACATCAATTTTGCTTTCTCACTCTCCTCCCGCGGGCAGCCGCGATTTCCTTTTTCTCTGTCTGTCCTGGAGGACTCGCTGCCCGCGCGATGCGAATGATAATGAAGGTTTCCCGTTCACACCGTGATAATCGTCCGTTTCGAACGCGCAATTTCGAATACTGCACTCAAATCATTGTAATATATGATCAATTTAACGACAATTTTTCTCAATCCGATGCAATTTTCAATAACGTTCGAATTCTTTGATCGAAAAAAACCAGATTGAAAACGAGACTTTTTTTTCCCGTGGAATTTTTGTGTCACCCTACCTTTCTTAATTTCGAAGATCAATTTAGAAAATGAGTACCATGTTCTGGAAATTTTAAATTACTTAGAAATTTCTTTTTTATACATTGATTATCCGGCTTTCTCGCGGGATCGCTCTTCGCCTCTCGAAAGCGTGCGCGCACGAACGAGCCACGGTGTGAACATCTCTCGTCTCTCGTGTCAAGCCTTGTGTCACACACGACATCTATAAAGGATTCTCAATCCGTAAAACACATATTATAGAAACAACATGCAACATTTTATCCTACCGCCGTGATACAATAATGGTACATACATACGCGTACGTATGCGCGCGTACGCGCGTCGCGCGAGTGTCGTGTACGTGTGTACGTGTCTGTCTGTGTGTACGTGTGTGTATTCCTGCGGGTACATATATATATACATATAGACCAAATATAATTCTTACATCCGGATGTACGACGCATGGTATAAGAATATAAGATATTTCGTTGCGTATAATGGCCAGCAGACTAAATCAGAGCACCCAATCAAATGCTTACCCTAAATTTAGGGTAGCGCTTTGATTGGTCAAAGAGTAGCCGCCATGTTCAAGACGACTGCACATCCTTGGGAATGGAATACTTTATATTTTTATACCATGGTACGACGGATCGCGAAAACTTGGGAACTGAAAACGCGCGCGTTTCGTTTCACACACTTTCGACCTCTGATCGCGAATCCGTCTCTTGCGCGTACCTCGACGAAAATCGACTGTAGCAGCGAATTTGGAATATACTAATATTATCCTCGAGCTGGAAATGCTCGGTATTGACGAGCTCGGGGAGAATCGAGAGGAAAACGTATATAATAAAAATATCGTAATTTCGTTTCGACAGCGCGTTGAAGAATCATTCGATTACTTTTGAGCAAAGCGATACGACGAAATCAGTGATTCAAATCAGTGATTTGAGTGAAATTGCCGATTTTCGGCTGTTCCAAATACATTTACGCGCATAATCGATGTCGAGATAATATTACGACTATAATTAATTCTAAATTTTCACTTTAATTCTACGTCGTTTATTTTTTAGGTACGTATGTTCTTTTACTTTTCTCTTATAATTTTCTTGACCGACATTGCCTCTCGCTCTTCCGATCTGATGTATGTGTACGTGTGTGTATTTCGTGTAAGTGTCAGGTGTGAAATACCTTTACTACGTATGCACTCCTATAATCCTTACGTATGACAAAACAATTAAACCCTGGGTTTAACCGACTCCTCCTCCCCTCCAGAAATTCCGCGTCTGATGACGTTATTATTCTAAATCTTTCGAATTTCGCCGCTCGACTCTGCCAATAACTCGATCCCTCTTCTACTTAAACTTAACGCTAATTCATTGTACCACTTAAAGGTATCCTCCCCCCCCCTTTGCCTCTGCTTAGCAGAACAGCCGAAAACAATATATATATTTTGTATATATATTAAGTAAAAGATTCATTATATAACTTGGCATACGCGACCGTATCTATTTACACTAGCATGTGTACTGTCCACGTGCGTGTGTCTCTCCCATAACTCTCTCCTCCTCTCTCCCTATCTCTCTGTGTACGTGTATGTATGTGTGTGCGCGTGTGTGTATGTTCCTATCATCACATACGTAAACGACACATAACATCTTTGAATATCCTTTTCCCGCGGCTTCTCCCCCGGGAATTAACTTCTCTATAACTATGTAATCTCCGTCGTCCAGCATCATTAATCCCATCCCCGGCGATTAACTTCCCTTTACGCTCCCTCGGGACAATCGATGTCACCTACGCTCGAATAATTTTCGCTTTCCATCATCACCTCCTTCATCAGCGCATCGGCGCTAATCTCACCGATTTTATTCGATGATCAACACTTCTCTGTATTATCACCTCTTTCGCTTCATCCCCGGGACGAAAACGGTACAACCAGTCGCGATCGCTTCAGCAACGTTCGACGACACGTCGGATAACTTCGCGTTGCAATTTCGAACAACGGATCACAACGCATAATTGCGGCTCTTCTTTCTTCCCGCGAATCGCTTCACGCGCGCATTCACGACTGCTCATGCATATGTGTACGCACTCGCTCGCTCTCGCGTTCATTCACTACGGCTTCACAGTTGTACATACATGTTGTGTTATTTCAATAATGCGCCCCTCGCGACAACAAAACGGAAAGAAAATGGACTTACAGTGAGTGCAAAAAGTGTTCGTACAGAGAAAATATTTTTTTAAAAAAAAACTTTATTTTTAAAAAGTAAATATTATCCAGCGAGAAATAAGTCATTGAATTGATGTCGAATCGATATCGATACGATGATTTCAACACCCATTCGACGTCGATCTGACGTCGTTTAATTGACGATCATTTCTTGCTGGGTAATTAACAATTTATTCATAAAGAATAAAATAGAATACGGTATGTATTTCTTAAAATTATATATACCAAAAAGATATGTGTATTAATTATAGAAAATATATCATCTGAAAAATAAGCGAAAATTAAAAATTCTATTGTATGGATGCTTAAAAAGTATTCGTACAATCGAAAAGCTTCTAAAATCAGAAATGCGAAGCTCGTTTGTTTATGTTAGAATAGAATATATTCATTGTACAAAATTGCTAATTAATGTTTATTTTTTACAAAGAAGATATTTTTTTTATAAAAAAAAATTTCCTTGTACGAATACTTTTTGCTCTCACTGTATTTTACGTATAGATAGCACATCACGTGCGCGAATCGAAGATCTCGGAGCTTCTCGGACGAATGAACTTCATGAGACGGGAATGATTGTAGCGAAGAAATAAAACATCAAATGTGTTTGACTAGCGTGAATGGATTCTGATTTATATAAGCGAAGCATATAGCAATTAATTTAAAATCAATCTACGGTCTGTGTAAGCTCCGAGATCCATGATTTTGCGCTACCCTCCCAAGAGGGTAGCAATGGCAGGAGAACTGCTCCGACATTAACCGGACAAAGTATTAGTAATAATAGTAGTAGTAATAATAGTAGCGGCTGTACGGAATGTACAGATTTTATTGTACTGTATAATATATCGCTATTGTGTTCCCTGTGTGTAATGCATTGCAAAACGATGAGGTAGTACTGTCATACTTTTGGCAGAGTTATGCGCGCGCGTGCGCGACGAGTGCTCACGTATATATTTGGCATGTTGAATGTTATTAGAAAACGGGAAAAAAAAAGAAGAAGAAAAGAGATAAAGGAAAAACAAAAATAAAAATAAAAAATAATAAAAGAACGGAAATAAATGAACTCTCTTCGGCTTCTATCTCGTGTACTATTATATCCCCAGCTCGCGCACGACGCGCTTTAAATACTAAATAATTCTCTATATCGTCTCTATTGTCTCTGATAACTTACGGTAGGCGGATATCGTTGTGAGAATAACCATTTAAAAACTTTCTGCGAAAGAACAAAAAAAAATAATAAACGAAAGGGAGAACAAGTAAATGGAACAAAAATAAGACAGATAATCTGTATAAAGTGTAAATACTGTAACAAGTAATATCGTGGGTGCCATCCTGACTAGGAGTATATCTCTATATATCTATACATATAGGTAATGTGTAATATAAATCTATTGCATTGATCACATCTCATACAACCGGGACAGCAACTATTTCGCGCGTAACCGCGCGCACTGTTTAAGATCACACGTGTGTGATCGATGGCTATACTCTATATTCACGGTACGCGACTATTGCTCCGGACAAAAGTCCGCATTTTAAACATTGTAAACAGGTAACAAAGTGGTAGTGATCGTTTCGCCGCGAGGCATCGCAGCCGTTGCGACAAATTTCTGTGGCGAATGCGTTCCGTTTTTTTTTATTATCATTTTTTTTTTTTTTCAGAAAAATCAATGTCGACATAATTATAGTATAATGATGTATCAACGTGATTATTGCTCGGTCGACGTGCTAGGTATACGCATTCGCCAAGAAGTATTTTTGCGTGAACAGCTGCGTGACTCTCCCACGGCTAATCGCACGACAGTCGTCCGCCCTAGAATCGCAGTAATCTCTCATAAACGTTATATAAAATCGTAACTGTATAAAAGATGTGTACTTCGTCGGGTGTCGTCTTGGCGCGATTTCGGATATGTGGGTCCTAGCGCGATTATTATATATTTATTAATAGTGGAGTGCGTGTTGTACGCGAGTGTATAAAAAGGTGAAACTGAAAAATTAATGTGTGATTACTCCAGAGTAGAAAAAGCGTCTTGTCTTTGGCACTGGTGCGCGCGTAAACGTAATGTGTTGGATATAGGTATCGCACATCGGAATGTCGCGATCCTATAGGCTCGACTTCTCAACAGCGATAGTAGTACCAGAAACAGGTAAACCGGTTAACGGCGTTAACGATTAAAATGCGACGGCGAGTAATCCGATCTATGTTGAATTATCAAAAGGTAGCGTTTTCTTCTGGCGCTCGTTCGCGCCACGATTTAAGTTTACCTGAGTTTGCATTGGTTCTCTCGTCGCAGTCGCCTGCGCTATAACGGCTCTGCGTGTACATGTTTATGCGCCATATATTCGCTGCTCAGGTCGTTACCTTCACTCGCTATCTCTCATCTCTCGTTTAAAAAGCTCCTAGTTAATAATCCTTACTTGACCGTTGCACTTTCATTGACTAGCTTTGTGATTCGCAGCGTTTTCGCGAGCGTGCTCAAGACGTCGTGCGCATCGTTGTTCCGTGCCTCCTTCATATTTTTTCTTGCCCCATACGAATCTTCATAGTCGTGTCCCTCGTTATGATTTCTCGACGATTCCAGACGCGCACGCGGAGAGATCGCTCTCGCGACGAGGAATCGGGACGGCGTTCGCTGACGACGACGAAGGGAAAACGAAGGTACCTAACTGCAGCCTCTCTTCTCGTCTCGTACCACGCTCTAACCGTGGTCCAGTCTCGCGGTCGATTCTGGCGAAGTGGTTACCGGAATTGTTGCTTCCGGGACCACCGCACGTGGACCACGACGGCGACCGCGGTGACGACGGCGAGAATGACAGCGACGCCGAAGACATTGTTACTGGAGCACAGTGTCCGAGATGTTGGAGAGCACAGTGTCCGAGACCGAATGATTGGACTGCTGGAATTCTTGCTTCATGCTGAGCTCGGCTTTGTGCTCTCGCGCAATATGCCGTCTGACGGTGTTGTTCCTGGTGAACGTTCGCGCGCAGTACGGACACGGCACTCTGATGCCCTGGTGACGTTGCCGCACGTGAGCGCGTAGATTCGTCTCGTAGCCGTACAGTCTCTCGCAGAAGGGACACTTTAATTTCCTACCTGGAAAAATAGAAACTTTTGTTTACAAATTCAATCCGTTTAAATAAATAAGCCGATTATACCTACGTTTATTTGGCGCTAAATTACTTTCAGCCATAAACAAACGACAAATAAGGACGTTATAATTTTCAAAAGAGTATAAGTGTCGCTCATGGCGGTTAAAAATATTAATAGACACAAAAAAATATTTCACGGAACTGTTTCAAGCGTGATATACATCGGTATTATACAAAAGACCTAGCATAAAAAAAAAATCTTTTCCTTTTTTCAAATGTAGTTAAAATTTTTCTACGATTGCCCGATTTAATTGACACGTAAGCCTATGAGCTAATCATAGTGTTCTGCGTATAATGCCGCAGCGAAACCTTCGTGGAAAGAAGACCGAATGCAGATTGCGCAACCCAGCTTCTCTTCTTCTCTCTCTTGCCCTCTCTCTTTTACACATACATAATTTTTTTCGGTCAGTGCGCAGCCGCGCTTCGCCATTAGTCCCATCGGCGAGAAGAAAACAAAGTTCAGGCTGAGGCGAACGATTCATGGTGAAGCATTAGGCCAATGCCTCCGAGATTGTTGGCGCGTGCAAGGCCAACCTTGGGCTCCGCGGGCTCTAATATACTTCCCGTCCAACCCGATTAACTTGCGCCAGAAGTACCATTTACATTTTACAGCAACCGCCGCGCTGCGCCGGTTCAGCCTCCTCGCTACGCGCGAACGCGCAAAACCGATCGCGGCCGATAAACTATCTCTGCTCTGTTCGCGTTGCTTAAAATCTACACAAATATTTGCGCTTAAAACGAGATAAATATATATATTTAGACGTTGAAGAGAGAAAAGGCGAAAATGCTGATGAGTGCAAAAAGTATTAGCAATGCGAATAGATTTTTTGTCATATGAGCTCCTTAGTTGATAAATAAGTTCAAAATTAAGAAAAATGCGTTTGTTATAGAAGTAGAAAATATTAAGAAGATTTTATCAATTTAATTTATTTTTATTTTCATAAAAAATAAAAATGGACTTAAGTCACTATTCTAGCTTTTTTTACGGTCACTTTATTTATGATGTAAAATTGATTTTTATTTTTTATGAACATAAAAACAAAATGAAAGTAAATTAAATTGAAAAGCGAATTAAATTGACTTATGTCACTTGTCAATTAAGGGGCTCATATATAACGCAGCCTGCATATTTCTTAAATTGTTATCCTAAACCGGATATAGCAATTTTTTAGACCTTGATTATTGTATACTTTTCTTGCGATACGTAACGACACATTATAATAGTGCAATATATTTTCTGTTTATATATTATTAAGATTATTTCTAAAGCTGACGTTTTTACATCATTAGAATAGTGAAATTAAATTATAATGCCAATATTAGACTGAACTAAATGCTTAAATATTTTATAGCACTTAAGAAAAAACATTCTTCACAAACGTGACACATAATTAAATGCTACTTCGATTCAAAATCAATATAAATTATGATACGTTGTAAAAATGTACCGTTCTCTAAAAGTCATAATATGTCAAATTTTTTTTTAATTTGTCACCACGTTGAATAAAGATAGGAATAAGAATAGGATTAGAATAATTTTTGCTATCCAAAGTGAAAAGTACTACTGTTAGATTTACGTGGAATTTATGGAATAAAAATTAAAACAACTTTTGCTATTAGCATCGAAATAGTTAACGTTATGAGAGCTGGCCGTGATCCTCGAACTTCATTCCATTGTATAAGCAAGAAGTTCATTGTAAAGTCGAAGGGCCTCCATACTGTATCAATGACATGTCTCCGAATGAGAAGCGCATTAGTCTCGTCGCCCCACACGAGATTTCTCTTTGTCTAATCCTAAAGAGATGCGGCGATGTTCTCAAACGTCGGGTCATTGTGACATCATCGGTCCCTAACAGCGGCATTGCACGCGCGTGCGTTTAACAATAATAATAAGTTCTAACGTAATTCTATGCTGAATCACAGTCGATGAATTGGCCGAAATTTGCGTTTGCGTTTCACGAGCATAGCTGAACAGGGGCCATTCACCAACGGGCTGCGCGTGACACACCGTGTCATTACCGAAATTATATAGATTAATCGGAAACAGTTCGGTGGAGAGTCGAAGGAGAAAAAAAAACATGAGACCGCCCATCATCGCGATTGTTCTCTCTTAAACGAAAGGATTCCTCGCGACTACCTACAGCGATTCAGGTGTCACGAGAGATGGCAAGGAAAGATGCGAGTGATGAGAAGAATCGCGCTGGAACGAGTTAGTCACACGCTAGAGCATCGTAAAAATTGTTACCACATTCAACGCATAAATAATCGTTGGCATAAGTGACGCACGCATTCACGTACACATAGAAAAAAAAATCATTCTGTTGCTAAGAAAAGTGATTATTTAATTTATTTTTTCCTTTTAAGTAATAGTTATCTTTAATAAAGAATATTTTCTTGATAATAATTTTAAAATATATTTATTACAAATTTTAGAATTAATTATTATGTATTTAAA